TTATTTTATTTAGGCTACTTTATTCCCTTTGTTGTTTTAATGTCCCTTTGCCTATTGTTTTTTAATATTGCTCTTTCATTTACATCTTTAATTGTAATTTTATTTTAATTTTTATATTAAGTTTTTTATTTAATTTTGAATTAATTATTTATGTAAATTTTGTATTGAGAGGTTGTTATTTATTTTACTGTAATTTAATTAGTTTAGTATGCTTTTTTGTTTTGTCTTACTATGTGTATTGAGGGTCCCTAATGATCAGCTTCGGCTGGATGGACCACCCTCATTAAAGATTGTTGAAATAAATAAATAAATAAATAAATAAATTTAGATAGGCCTATACTTGTTCTTATTGCACATTGATTAAAAAGTCGAATTGAGTTCATTACAAATGAATAGTTGTGCCTATTATGAGTTGAATGAGGAGCCCGTATTCTCAGACCGGAGCGCATGGATACATAAAGACTGTGGAGTGGGTGTGTTTCATCTAACAAAATGGCATTTAGTTTATTACGCACATATTGTTCGTATAAAATTTCAACCGTGATTATATCACAGCCAATGCACCGTTTAGCTGAACGTCTGATCCTTTCAAACTTCCTCTTATTTTCTATGCTGAAGTTTCCGAAAGTGCAAATTAAACAGAAATTGAGCACACTCTGAATAACTGATTTGTAAAATAACAACAGAATAGATTTATCAAGGGAAACACTCCTCAACTTTCTAAGAAAATACAATCTAACTGTTGCTTTATTTGCCACTTTAGTACAATGTGCGTTCCAGGTCAAACAGTCATCAACCGTTACTCTGAGGTAGCAATATTCATGTACCCTATCTACATATTCATTATTAATAACAACCGGATCATGAACAGATGGATTTCTACTGAAATCATATATGAGCTCTTTCGTCTTCTTAACATTTAAAATTAAAAAGTGATCAAAAGTGATCCTTACACCATGTAACGAACTTCTTAATTTCATTCATATAATCACAGGCATTATTTCCTTTTACGAAACCACAGATGACAGTATCGTCAGCATATTTAATTATACTCACACTGGGCGACGAGCTTTTGCAGTTGCTTGCATACAAAGTAAATAGAACCGGGGACAGCACGCACCCTTGGGGAGCACCTGTATTAATTATACGTGTACGTGATTTAATGTTATTAACTTTTCTATTCCAGAGAAAACTATGAACGCATAAAATAAGTTTAGGATTAATATTCATTTCCATCATTTTATTAACCATGATATGTGGTTGAATTGTGTTAAACGCACTGCTAAAATCTATAAATAATGACCTCATAACTGATTTTGGTTTCTCAAGGTGGTCAACAATACCATGTAGGTAACATAAGTAAGTTGCATACGTAGTTTTTCCATGAATTGATGAATCCCAAAAAGAAAGGTGGGGTTGGGGGAGGTCCTGTGGTTCTTCCCCGGGAAAATTTTGATTCCTAGGTGGCGGGAAATTAGCTTTCCCGACTTCTGTAGTGTCTTTTAATGACTTTTAAATTCTTCAAAATTCAAGGTTCCCCCCCCCCCTTGAAAATGATTCAATTAATCAATGAACTCCAAAGATAAAGGGTCCGGGTTCCCCGGAAAAATTTCGATTTCTAGATGGCGGGAGATGAGCTTACCTGACTTCTGAAATGTCTTTTAATGAATTTTAAATGTTCTTCAAAATTTAAGGTTTTCCCCTCTTTAAAAAGGTCAGGTAAATTTTTCTCATTTTTTATTTTATGTGTGTATACATACGGTACATAAACAAATGAGTAGTTGCATGCATATTCTTTTTTCCATGAATCGATAAATCCCAAAAAGTAAGGGTGGTCCGGGGGTTCTCCCCCGGGAAAATTTTAATTCCTAGATGGCGGGAATTGAGCTTTCCCGACATTTAAAGTGTTTTAATGAATTTTATGTTCTTCAAAATTCTAATTTTCTAATAGAAACAAAAAAAAAAAAAAAAAATCAGCTCACGGGTCCTGAAAAGGTAGGTCTAGAATTCTTTTCTTTTTCCCCTTTTTTTGTTGCCCAAGTGAGGGGTCAGGACCCATAATCCCCTCCCCCCACATCCGCCAATGTGAATTGCGAGAAAATGTAACTCGGTCGGGTACTGGATAAACATTCTCTTTCCCATCCTTCTCCTCCCTCCTTTTTTTTTTTGCGTTTCCGATCATACAAAATTCTCCTGACATTATATATTTTTCGTCAAAATTTTTCCGCCGGCCATGAAGATTACATTGAATCCTGTACTCTGCAAGATCACATTGAGCTTGGGATTTCAGCCATTGCGTTCGGCTCTGCATCTTTCTTGCTTGGTTATTCTACAGTTGTCAGTGAACCATGCTTTGCGCCAGCACAGACTGCTGCTTTTAACAAACTCGGAAGCATAGACAATAATTATAACAATCAAATCAAAAGATATTTAAAACGATTCATTCAGAATTATAAGCATTTTGAATAATTATTCTACTTGTGTATTTAGATCCACCTGAATATGTTGATTACATTACTGTTGCTCCTAGTGAGAATGTCACTATTGCACCAGACATTTTAGCTAATCCTGAATTCACTTGCCAATGGATCACTGAATTGAATGATACAGATACAGACCCAACGACCTTCACATTCAAGGCATCAGACGTTGTTGGAACAAACTATACAATAATAGTGAATGCTACTAATAACATTGGATCAGCAATCAAATCATTCAAAGTCACTGTCTCAAGTATGCTTTTAATTTTATAAATTAAGTTAAAACTGATTTTTGCACTATTTTCCATGTGTGCTTATAGTATATGAATGAAGGAGGAAGAAAATTTAGGTACGGTAGTAATCCGTTAATTTTAAATTTTAAATAATTTCACTGCACAATAAATTACTCAAAAATTGATTAAATTGAATATAGATTTGAGAGATTATTATTAACGTTTTCTGTTTTACAAAACAAAAGTACTCTCTGCCTATCATAATCCTCTAGTGATATAATTACATTTGTTGATCAGAACGATTTCCAATGCAGTTTGTCGAAAGTTTGAAATTGTTTTCGAAACAGTTATACTCATGCAAACCTCGTCTATTTTATACCATTTACAATTCCACATTCTTCCTCTTTGGCCTCCTTCACCTCCTTTTCCTTCTACCATTATTACTGCTACTGCTTCTCACCACCACCACTACCACTGCCATATTAAAAAAAAAAAAAACAAAAAAAACAACTAATTATTGTGGCTATAAAAAACAATTAAAGAGTGAACAATCCATAGGATTACTTTAACCTTATTTTTTAAATATAATTTTTTAGGTGTTGACTATTGTGTTTCTAATCCATGTGGAAATAAAGGGACTTGTATACCTGCTAATTTTGCGTTTACTTGTGAATGTGAACAAGGCTACAGTGGGAGATATTGTGAAAATAGCATTTACGGTGAGTATCGTAAAGGACACGAACTTTTTCATCATATCGATAAGCAATTGTCATCGTAAAAAAGTTTTGATTTACTAGGGACATTTCATCACATGTACAGCATTTTATTTTTTATGTATTTTTTAATATATTTTAAGGTTTTTCAATGTTTTTTATGTAAAACTCAGCAACCTAATAAGGAGAAGGAAGTGCCATGGGGATGGATAGGTCATACTTTAAGAAAAGACCCTACAAACGTCACCAAGCAGGCCCTAGACTACAACCCGCAGTGGAAAAGAAAACAGGGCAGACCCAAGAACAACTGGCGTCGCTCTACTCTACAAAACCTAAAAAATATCCGTTCCATTGGGGGAGGGGGGGGAGCCAAAGCTGCGGCACAGAGACGGGTGGGAAGGAGACCTATGGTGGACGCCCTATGCTTCCCAGGGACCAAGAGGATTAAGTTAGTCTTATGTAAAACTAAAATCACTAATTACGTAACATCAATTTTATTAGAATGTTCTTGCTGTTTCGATTTAGTAATGGCACGGGAAGGATTGTAATCCCATATACGGCTTAACAAAAAATTATTTATTTCCTTATTCATTACCGTATATACAGCGTATTATCCAATTGACATCATCATCTATTATTTTCATTTATCGTTGTAATTGGTGTTGTTACTTCCCTACTTGAATATACTTCATTAAACATTCTATACTAAAATAATGAAAATAAATAAATAAAATGAAATAAAATAATTATGTTAAACTTAGACCTATAGCCTATAGCGATTCACACTATAAAATCCGGCATTGAATTAATCGCATATACTAGTAATACGTACTCTAGAGAAAATTCCATGATGCGGAGCTGTAAGATCTGCGCATTTCTACATCTCTCTTTATTGTCTTTTATTTTATTTCTTCAAACACATATTTACAATAAACATAATTATTTTCAGACAAAAAATAAAAGCTTTCGCTTATCGAGTTTTGGCATAACATAAATTTGACTACTGAATTGATAGAGGGTAAAGCACTGAAAGCAAATTTTCTGTTTGCGATTACCATACACCCACTTTTACTCCTGGATGAAGAGAGACAACCGTATGTAAAGCGCCTGGGACACAGGCGAAATGTACAGGGAAATTGAGAAGAACTGCACCCACTGTGCCAAACCGCATTATTATGATTGAAGTTGTATGACATTTACTGTTATATCTTCATCCCTTCCAGGCACAAGTTTGACAATTGGAATGTTGTTTGTGGGTATAATTGTTGGAGCCTTCGGAGTAATTGGTGGATTGATCGGCTACACGAGGATTAAACGGGTTTGTCAGATACCAAATCAAATTGTTGTTCGTGATATATTTAATAGTGTGCCTTCAACACATTAATACATAACACCCCCTCCCATTTCTGTTCAGTCAAATGATCCAAATTAAAATAAGCAATCTTGTACAAATTATGTGTCATGCAAATCAGGCCTAATGGCTGCAAAGTGACTTTTGAAAATGAACAGATTTTTTTTTAACGGGTTGAAAATTTATAGGAAAACGACAAATGGTCTTTCACAAGTAGACCTACAAAGTAAACTTCTACTGTTTTTTCTTGTTTGTCGTAGTGTTAAAGGTAGTTTAAAGTTTCATTTTTTGTGGCGGCTTTCCGCTGTTTAATGAGCAGTTTAATCATGGTTTAATAAACAAACAAATAACAATGTGTGTTGGCAAAATAATACTAAAGACAGAAACAAACAAAAAATAGAATGACAGAAAGAAATTACTGTAAATTCGTAACAATGATTATTTTTTATTTCAATTCAGAAGGCACAGATAGGCAAGAGGAGTGCGAACCAGAGACAGAACTTAGATGTAAGCTCTTAATATTCTAATTCACCTCATCTTTGTCACATATCCTCTTTATGTCACGTGCACAAAGCCTGCTTCTGTAAATTTCATAGGCTTTCTGTTTTGTCAAATGATTCTGGTAGATAGTTTGTATTCACATTTCTGTTAGGGCCCGGACTAGGTGTAGTTTGTTTTCACTGGTCCTCCTTCCTACAATCAGTAGCATGCTATCGCGCTGGTCTGTAGGGGACAAACAAGCTCTACTCTACCACTAAAACAGGCCAAATGGCAGCTGTATTCTACGGATTAATGAAAATTATTGTAAACTTGTAAAATGTATTGTTTTATACAGAGTGATAATAAAGTATTGCAAATAGGTATTTATCCTAATTCTTTGCGACTTTTGAAACAATGATAATAAATTATTTCACATAATATTTATCTATTCTAAAAGAATTTGAAACTCCCTCATTGTATTCATTTTTTCCTTTTAATTCACACTACAGTATTACCAAATATCAATTTACCAACAAGTAGCAATGACCTAAATTGCCTTGATATATTACGTTTCATATCTCAATACAGACTTACATGGACTACGTAGGAGATGATGGTCCAACTTACCAAGATCTACAACATAGAGAAGAAGAAACAACTTATGTTAATGCGATGCCGAGAAAGAAATAAGAGTAGAGAGAGCAGTAGCTAGTTGGAGTGAATGCTTGTTACTTGTGCAAGGGTCATTATAATCACAGCGAAATTTATCACTGATGATTGTACAACCGCGAATCCAAGAATTGTTTTAAGCTCTGTCCAGATTATGATTTTTTTTTTTTTACAAAATATGTAGTATGTCCACGTAAAATCATGATGTGCCTATTTGGTGATGATAATGATGTCATCAGACCATATTTAGACATGTCACATGTTTTTAAAAATAACATTTGATAGTCTGGACAGGGCTTAAGTCACGTGTCACTCCAAATATCATACATAACTCACATAGATTAATATATATTATTATTATATTTAAAACACTATGCTTAGAAAAGGTAGCATATGATGAAGTTGACAAAGCACATAGTTAGTCAACACTTTAATATACTTTTTTAACAACCTTTATAACCGTATATAATTTTAGACTAGACAAACGTTTGAATGTAATGAATCCCATATATCGAACTTGGACGTTTATATAATCATTTACTATTTTGGATAAGGACAAAATGTTTGTGCCGATTTACCGTCCAGACGCGTGTACAGCTCTGGAAGAAATATATCGTTGCAAATATCTTACCATTATTGGCATATTTTGAGTTTATATGCATGTCTATTAAAGTATCATTAATAATAAATATTGGACGAGGTCTTGTCACGCTACAAAAGCAGCACGTGTGAGAAGTCATTATTCAAATTCCGTTCGTACTGTACAGTAAAGGCAGCAGAGTATTTAGTAGGTAAGTGCCACTTCAGTGAGTGCGACTGACACAATCTCGTGTATTTTTACGAAATATAATGGAATAAAATCTATTGACCATGTTAATCACTAAAATAAGTCAATATGTGAAATATTGCTGAATATATAAATAAAATGAAGTCTATTATAGACTACATCATTCACAACATTTTAGCATGTATTGAATAATCTATTTACCATATGTTTACCAGTAGGCATAGTACCGTATCTTACCTGCTTTAACATTATAACCACAATTATTATTGGCTATATTTAAAATATAATAATTTGCAAACGTCTTTCTAAAATTAAAGTTAAAGACGAAACCGTATTTAATATTTGCTTTAGAATGTGCAGTATTTGGCCAACTGAGCTTTAAAAAATGATTATTTTATGGGCAGATCCATAGGGATGAAGGTCGTCGACGTCCGGTTTTCCCACCACCCTTAACATGTTAAAGCAGGGGATGATTTAGGGGGTGGGCCAGCGCCCTCCCCCTTTTGGAAAGTAAACTAAATAAAAAAAATTGGATCGCCCAAATATATATATGCATCGAACATAATATTTTGTATACAAAATTATTTTGGCATTTTTTAAGTTTTATAAAGTATTTGTTACCCTTATCAGTGTATTGATGTATTTATTCAGATTAGAGAAGCTTACTCCATATTCCACGCTTGCAATCCTGTTTTCTTGGCATACCACTATAGACCTAAATGATCTTCTTAGTATAGTATGATATAACCTACTGAAGCATGTATTTTTGTAGATTTTTAACTGTATAAGCCCCTATGTTTTTTAAGGGGTGGGGTTGTCTTCACTGTGATCTACTGTATTCAGTTACCGTATAAGCGTCGAGGTTCGATACTGTATATGAAATTCATTACATTCAAACGTTTGTCTAGTGACACAAAGTTAACATTATAAAAGGAAGGTTGTTTTAAAAAGTATATTAAATGCTGTCTAAATTTACCTGTGCTCTGTCATATGCTGCCTTTTCTATGCCTAGTGTTTTAATACTGTATTGTTGTATGTACACTTTGACTAACTTGCTATGGACACTCATGGTGCCATCCACCCACGTGGTGCCATCCACCCACGTTTTTATCACGTGAGTTATGTAATCATTTTGGGAGTGAAACATGGACTTGACCAGACTATCAAATTTTATTTTTAAAAATATACCTAAATATTTTCTGATGACATCATATCATGATCATATAGGCACATCATATATATATATA